CACCCAAACAAATCTCTCACGTAACATTGCCGTTGCCGGTCTCAAGCCCGAATGCAAAAAGTGGAAGGTTACGTTAGGTAGTCGACAGCCAGCGTAAAATTTTTTGAAAAAATCATGACATGAATCCTTTTGATCTTTTATCTTTTTGTAAGTGTTAGGGCGTCCCCTGGAAGCGACGCGCTGTATAGCCTGAATACAGTGATAAGTGTGCAAGGACCGCTACACCGGCGCCCGGATGTAGTATTAAATAAGCAAGGGTTCCCATATTACGGGCGAATGCGGGTAAAGAAGTTAGTCCATGAAACTAATAAAACTAATATTAGGATATGACCTTGGAATATAGATACTCTCAATTGTAAATTAATGGAATTAGTTGATATTATGATTCATAGGAAAATTAAGATCTTATATATTCAAGAAACTAAGTGGTTTGGAGAAAATGCTAAGGAGATTGATAATTTAGGTTTTAAATTTTGGTGTTCTGGTAAGAGTAACACTAGAAATGGTGTAGGTGTAATTATAGATAAGAATTTGAAAGATAATGTTGTAAAAATTAATAGAGTTGGAGATAGAATTATAATCCTTGATATTATCATTGATATTTAGATTTTTAATATTATAAGTGCTTATGCTTCTCAAGTAGGTTTAGATACAGGGTCTAAAGATAAATTTTGGAATGACTTAGAAGACTTAATACAAATGACACGTCTTGAAGAAATAGTTTTTATTGGAGGAGATTTAAATGGACATGTCGGTAGAGTGGTAGAATATGATTTTGTTATTACTAATACTTTATTCAAGAAAAAAGATGAGCATCTTATTACTTATAAGAGTGGATCTAATAAAACACAAATTGATTATTTTCTTATGAGAAGAAGAGATCGTCGCGATTGTAAAGATTGTAAGGTCATATCAAGTGAAAATTTAAGTACCCAACATCGTTTATTAATTCTAGATTTTAAGATTAAGAGTTGTAAAATAAAAAAATACTAGGACTCAGCATCGTAGAATTAGATGGAGAAACTTAAAAGACAAATAAAATTATTTTTATGAGTAAAATTCAAGATTTCAAAATTTGGGATATTCATGAGGAAGCAAATGCTATGTGGGATAAAATAACAAACACTATTAAACAAGTAACAAAAGATTTGCTTGGAGAATCAAAAAAAAATTTTATAAATAAAAGTAGTTGGTGGTGGAATAATAATGTGCAAAACAAGATAAAATATAAGAAGTTATGTTATAAAAATTGGTTTAAATGTAAAAGCTTAAAGAACTGGGAAAAATATCAGACCCGCAGAGAGTCTAAAAGAATAATCTGACGCTAAAAATTCTGCTTTTAATGATCTTTATAATCTATTAGATACTAAGGAGGTTGAAAAATATATGTATAAACTAGCCAAACAAAGAGAAAAGAAAAGTAAAGATTTAACTAAAGTAAAGTGTATTAAAGATGAAAATTAAAAAGTACTTTTCTTAAAAAAAAGATTCAACATAGGTGGGTGAGTTACTTTGATAAACTTTTTAATGAAGTTTCTGAAAATACGATCAACCTTAGTGATCTTAATATCGTGAATAATAATAAAACGTTTCGTTTTTACCATCGTATTAGTAAAAAAGAAGTTGAGGAGGCTTTAAAGAAAACCAAGGGTGGAAAGTTTGTAGGACTTGATGATATCCCAATTGAAGTGTGGAAATATTTGGGAGTTTCTTGGCTTACTAAACTCTTTGATATTATTTTAAAAACTAAAAAGATGCCTGAGAAGTGGAGGAAGAGTATTTTGGTACCCATTTTTAAGAATAAAGGGATGCACAAAAGTGTGCAAATTATAGAGGAATTAAGTTGATGTGTCATACTTTAAAGTTATGGGAGAGGGTAATTGAACATAGGTTAAGACACATCACAAAGATTTCTCATAATCAGTTTGGATTTATGCCGGGCATGTCTACTATGGAAGCTATACATTTATTGAGAGGTTTGATGGAGAAGTTCAGAGATAATAAGGAGAATCTGCATTTGATTTTTATTGATTTAGAAAAAGCTTACGATAAGGTTCCAAGAGATATCCTTTGGAGAGTCCTCGAAAAAAAAGGTGTTGATATGACTTATATTCAAGTCATTAAAGATATGTATACTAGAGTTGTTACTTGTGTTCAAATTGAAGGAGGATTGACCAAATATTTTCCTATTTCTGTTGGATTACATCAGGGATCGGTTTTAAGCCTTTATCTTTTTGCTTTAGTTATTGATGGTCTTACTAGACATCTACAGGAGGATGTACATTGGAGTATGCTTTTTGCTGATGATATTATTCTCGTGGATAAAATGAGAGAAAAAGCCCAAGAAAAACTTGAATTATGGAGGTCTACATTTGAGTCTAAAGGCCTTCGTTTATGTAGAACCAAAACTGAATACATGGAATATAATTTTAGTACTAATAGCTCTAGTGACAGAAGTATGACTTTGGGTGATCAATTTATTAAATAGTGTGAACGATGTCTACATTGGAGTCTAAATGCCTTCATTTGAGTAGAACTAAAACTGAATAAATGGAATGTAATTTTAGTAGTACTAGCTCTAGTGACAGAAGTGTAAATTTGGGTGATCAAATTATTAAAAGGTGTGAATGATTAGTTTTCTCGGGTTCGTTGTTCAAAGCGATGGTGATATAGATGGGGATGTTAATAGTAGAATTCAAGTTGGTTGGTTGAAGTGGAGGAATGCTTCGAGCCTTTTGTGTGATAAAAAGTACTGCTAAGACTGAAAGGAAAATTTTATTAGACGATGGTGAGACCTACAATGCTCTATAGCGTTGAATGTTGGCCTTTAAAAGAGAAACATAATAATAAGTTAAGTGTTGTCGAGATGAGAATGATTAGGTGGATGAGTGGCTTTACACTTAGAGACAAAATGCGAAATGAATATATTCGTGATAGGGTTGGTGTAGCTCCTTTGACGGACAAAATTAGAGAAAGTCGTCTTAGATGGTTTGGTCACATTAAACGCTGACCATCTGATTATCCGATTAGGAGAGTAGATGTTTTAGATTCGACTTGTGTTAAGAAAGTCAGAGGTAGCCCTAGGAAGACTTGAGCTTATTGTATTAAAAATGATCTTAATTTACTAGAACTAAATGAAAATATGACATTAAATAGGACGCAGTGGAGAAAAATGATTCATGTAGCCGACCCCACGTAGTGGGATTAAGGCTTTGTTGTTGTTGTTGTAAACAAATCTCTCACGTAGTGGGATGAAGGCTTTGTTGTGTTGTTGTTGTATGTCACCCAAATCTCTCATATCTCATAAAAAATACCATCATTTTAACTTTTAAAAAGTGAAATACATCTTGTCATGCTCAGATACGGTGCTATGTATGTAAAAATTGAAGTTTAGGTGTTGGCTATGTAAATACATAGGAATTGAGTAGTATGTATGTAAATCCTCCTTATTCAGATAATAAAATTAATTTTCTTTAATTTTTGTAATTTAATTTTTTGTTGATTAATTTTGAATTTTCCAACTATCAGAGGTTTAAAGAAGTAAAAAATTTCCTTTTAATGATCTATCTAGTCAGTTCCCAAATCAGCTAACAATGGCATGATCTTGGCTGTTGAAGTTGGATCCAATGATGTGTAGAGGCAAAAAGTAATGATTGCTGATGAATGGGTTCTTTAATCATTGATTTGCTTCGATTTAAAACAATGAGAGTTACCCTAACCGTTAGAAGTGCTATCAGATGGATAGATGTTTGTTTAAAACAAATGAGGTGCTTTCCTCAGTTTAACTTGATTATATGAAAATTGTGGATTTGACGACCTTGGACTTGTCTTCTACCTCTTGCGGGGTTATTGTACACTTGGGAGCATGCAATTTTCAGGCGGGATTTTGGGGCCATTCTTGGGTTGATTTAGGCCTCTATCAAGCTGTTCTATAACTTAAGTAACTTAGTAGACAAGGTTGTGCGCCATTATGTACTCCTAGTTATTCACGCAGGGGGGCTTAGATTTTAGTTTCTCTACTTCAATCAATGATCAAATTGGATGGCCAATTTGGCCAAGGACCTGTGTATGGGTTAGCTGAAGATTGCTAAAAATTCTTCTTTTGCTATTGCCCATCTCAACCACAATAGATCACTCTTTAAGCAAAGCTTCATGTGAGAGTTGTTGAGGCGCTTGAGATGATTGGGTAACAAATGTGATAGCTTTAGAACCTTTTGAAACTGGTTTCTTGAGGTTAATATAAGCTGTGGGGTCTATTGGTTCACGTCAATTAGAATGATTGGGTCAATAGTGGTGCTTGGCTCCATGGGTGCCTTAGCTTTGTGATCAATAAGTTCTCTTGTGATTATGTTTTATTTCTTATAGATTTACCTTAGATATTCAAAATTTTGAACTTCTTTTTGTAATCTAGGTTTCATTAAATAAGGATTGATAATTCATTGATTTTGAAACACGGTATACGTTTGAAATTATTTGTGGTCAATTGAGTACCTTTTTTAACTCAGATTTGTGTACGTGGATCGCTGAAGTTTTGTCAAGGAAGGGTCTCTTTTATTCTTTTCTATTTCATCAACCTATCTTCATCACATACACGTAAAACATGGTGATGAGAACAAAGGTCTCATGGTTTTAACACTTCGACATCTGAGAAAATGGAAATCTGTCAATCCTATATGTCCACCATTTTTCTAGTCACAAGGTTTGGAAATTTTGTGAAAGGTATGTATTGCTTACAATAAGAATAGTGATCGAGTATTAATATCTAAATTCCCAGGTCTTCTGAGTTATTTTTTCAAATATTTCCCAATCAAAACAATTAAACAACTATTGGAAGTACAAAAAAAGAAGGGGGAAAAAAAAGAAAACTCTTGGGATTACTTTATCCTGATCTCTTTCTAAATGTTAATTTAGCATACTTTTAATTTTTCAGTTATTGATTTGTTTGTTTGAAAATGCTCTCTTCAATCAAATTTAACTTTTTTTTTTTTTGTCATTAACAGAAAGTAACAATAATTTCCATGACTGTTGCAAGTCCTGTTGCTAGAAGAAGATTGTTTGCTCTGATAAACAGCTTCATTGCTGTTTTTATATTTGCCGGACAACTCACTCTAACGGTAAGACCCCTTTCAAGGGTGATTTAGTTTTCATTTTCTTGAAATATTTTAATCCCCTCAGGGATTACTCCAAAATGAATATCCTCACTGTTTCTTTAGTGTCCCAATCTCAAGTATCCTGTGAAGTAAAACAAATGATCAGTGTATTTTGGTGTAGTTTTCCGAAGTTATCACCACATTAAGCTCACTGTCAGTTCATTACCATTTAGGCAATTGGTATAAATAGATTGAGCTATTAGTATGTACCACTTGACAGAAAGCTAGAATGACGGTTTCTTGGACATTTTCTTCTCATCTCTCATTCTTGTTTAAATTTCGAAAATTATATAATTTGCACTAGTCAAAATTATTCAACCCTATTCAATGCTTAGGCTACTAGCTTGGATGCTAATTTTTATAGATATCTTGGATATTATTCTGCGGGACGCATTATATTTCTGGAAATTACGTGCTATAGTTTACTTAAATACTCACAGAGTATTTTTTTTTGACTGATACATTTTATTCAACAGGGTCGCATTCTTACAGCTGCTGGTATTACGGTGGCTATTTCTGCAGCACCAGTTGTTGCAATGGCAAGTATGATCGCACTTGCTGTTTGGCCTACATTTATTACCGTGGCTGTCTCTGAAACTCTTAGAAAGGTTTGTTTTACATAACATTATACATTTTGCCTTTGGCTTATTCACTTTGAAGTGGTTGTCCTAATAGAAGTTTAGAACCAACTATGTGGTGGCTTGAATTCGTTTACTTTTTTTTTTTCATTTAGTTAATTTTATGAAGTTATTATTTTTGAAGCTCTTGCTCATTCATCACAGCTTTATTCGATCAGCATTTCATGGCCTAAAGTAATAATGAAGACAATGTAATTTCTAGCATACTTCAACCTCCTCATAAAAAACGTTGGGAGGCTGTACTTTCAACTACTAGCATGTAATGCAAGTGATGGATCCCAAAGAAAATTTTACTTTCGACAAATGTTTAGGAAGATTTACACACATACCAATCAATTTTTATGTATTTACATATCCAACACCTAAACTTTAATTTTCACATACATGCCACCTTCCCAATGCTTGAATATGTGTTTTCACTTTTTAAAAATTAAAATAGTGGTAGTTTTGATGTGATATGAATGATTTGGGTGGTATAAATGTAAAAATTAAGTTTAGGTGTTAGAAATGTAAATACATAAGAATTGGGTGGTATTAATGTATATGCCCCAAAAATTAATTGATTTTGGACAATTTTGGAATGGAATGCGAACTAAACTATTTAAATTCTGAAAGATTAATTCTTGAAATGCTTAATTGTGTTGTTTACTTAAAGTTGTTTGAAAATTGAGGAGCTTTGAACAATGCATCCTCAGCCTCAGTTATCTCAATTCCAAAGTGTAAGCAGCCTAGGTTTGCCTTATTAGTAATTTATGATTGAATAAACTCGGGCAATATCCATGGTTTGCATGTGAAACTCTTCCAAAAGGTCTGCAATGCTTGATTTAGTTGTAATTTGCGTTCAAACTTGAGTGTGAACTTTTTTGGTGTACATTCATTGTTTTATCATTTAATTATTTCTTCTCAAGCTATTGTTTTTTAAGTCTGTGTTCACTCAATATCGAGTTTCCTATGAGTAGGAATTTAATTCTCAAAAGAAAAGAACCTCTGAAATGTGTAGCTACAAATGATTTCAATCAAACCATATCTGCAATGGCTTCAAAGGGTGTTCGGGAGATGTGTTTATTCTGCAAAAGTAATGAATATTACCTTTTAGAAGGTAGGAGTGGTTAATGGAGAGTGGAGTGATCCTAAAAACAAATCAAATTTCTTAGAGAATTTTTAAAAACTTGAGGAAATATTAAGACCGGAGTATGTACAAAAAAAGTGCGGAATATATTTTGCATCTAACCATCTAAACCTTGAAGCAACAGTGGTGTGGTCTTGAGAAAGCTCATGATCGAGTGTCTGTATCAGAAGACTTGGTCTTGAGAAAGCTCATGCTCCTCTGTTTAGTTTTTCTTTAACAGTATTCCTGTAAAATGCTTTCATGGTATCAGAGAAAAAGGTTCATATCCTAACCTTACTAATCTTCTTCTTCCTCTCTTCATATTCTGCAATCTTACCTCTTTTCTCAAATGTCTACCTCTTCCTCTTTTACCAATCCAGCTTCAAACCTCTCTACCCCAACCATGACCAAAATCTCTATGCCTTCATCCCTCATTTTTGATGTCAAACATCAAAAACATTGCCCACATCCAACTTACAACTGAAAACTGCCCTACCTGGAAATCCCAAATTCACAAGCTCTTCAAGGCAAATGGTTTTGACAGCTTCTTGGCTTGCTTGGCAGCTGGTCCTCCATCTCAAATCCAAGACATCAATGGCCAAATAATTCAGAACTCACAATTTCTCACTTGGCAATTTGTAGATCAGAATTTATCATCAGCGATCTACCAGTTCTCCCACAATTCTCCCCTATATCCTCAATCTGGAATCCACCTCGGAAATCTGGACAATCCTCACTAGCCGGCTCCAATCAACCAATATATCACGAGTTATCTAACTACAGAATGAGCTTCATTACATTTCTATGAAGGATCAATCAATGACTCAGTATCTTTTTAGGATTAAATCACTCATCGACAACATTGCTGCCGCCGGAGGATACATTGAACCTGAAGACATCTTCATCCTTCACACTCTCAAGGAACTACCATCCTATCAATCCTTCAAAACAGCCATTCACACTCGAGCTGAACCTTTCAAGCTAGATGACCTCTACTCATTGCTCTGCAGCGAAGAAACCAATATCTCAGCTGAGCTTGCGAAGGAATCAAACACCAATTCCATTGCCCTCTATACTTCACAATTTGGCATCAATGCTGCTAGCAGAGGCCGAGGCAAACAACCTCACGGTGTGAAAGGTAACACCAACAATCATAGCAATTTTCACCCTTCTCAAGGTGTTCGTAGCTACAACAATACATCCACTCGTCCTACATGCCAAATTTGTGGTAAATCAGGTCACACAACAATCACTTGCTGGAACAGGGCCAACTTCAACATGCATGCTTCCACAAAAATTGATGCAGCCTATTTAAACATCAACCAATAACCCAACCTATGAATGGTTGCTTTGACTCTGGTGCAACCTCCCATCTCACATCCAACCTCAAGCTTCTTCAACTCGCAACACCGTATTTTGGCTCCAACTCCGTTATCTTTGGAGATGGCTCAACCCTTCCATTCACCCACTAGAGTAAAGATCTCCTACCAACCCCCCAATGTATGCTTCAACTCCTTCAACTTCTACACTCGCTTATCTCACTCACAATCTTCTCTCAATCCATCAACTCACTTCTGATAACAATTGTTACATTCTTTTCAACAAATCTGGTTTTGTTATCAAGGATCGGAGGACAAACCAAATCCTGCTTCAAGGACCTAGCAAAGACGACCTCTACCCCATCTCCACCTTCTTTGCTTCCAACACCCCCTCATCCTCAGCCAAAATATGGCATCGCCGGTTAGGGATAAAACCAGTGCAAATTTTTTTATCTAAACTAGGGATAAAACCACTAAATAAAGTAAAATGAAAGTGTTGAAATGGATCCACCCATCATATAATAAATAGTAAGCACATCTATCGTGGGAATAACCTCTACTCATGTAATTGTTCATGTAGATGCAAATGCGTTGAATCAACATAAATGGTAATGCGTGACAAATATGTTTTTGAGGATTGTGGGCGAGGATGATATCGAAACGATTTGAATTGTCAATTTGACTTCTGATTTTCTTATTGTCAATTTGACTTCTGATTTTCTTAAATTTAAAATGTTGAAACTCTTGTTAAAAGGGCATTTAAGGTGCATGACTCGAGGCGTTCCTTGAATTTAGGCCCCCAAAATGCCTTGCGGCTTAAGCGTGAGAGCCACAAGTGACCCCTTTTTTGTCTTAGGTGTATGCCTTTTCTTACTACGACTCTATTGTGTCCTATTGAGTGTCATATTTTCATTTAATTCTAATACATTGACATCATTTTTTATACCATATGCATGTCTTTTTAGGTCAACCTCTGTCTTTCTTAACATAAGTCGAATCTAAAGCATCTATTCTCCTAACCGGATTATTAGATGGTCGACAGTTAATATGAACAAACCATTTAAGATGACTCTCTCGAATCTTTTCTACCACAGAAACTACACTAAACCTTTCACGGATAGATTCGTTTCACATTGTCTCTAAGTGTGAAGCCACTCATTCACCTAACCATTATCATCTCAGCAACACTTAAATTTGTTTTATGCTTCTTTTTAAAGGCCAACATTCTGCGCCATAAAGCATTGCAGATCTGATCACTATTTTATCAAATTTTTCTTCAAGTCTAAGCAATACTTTTCTGGCACACAATAGGCTTAATGCATTCCTTCACTTCAACCAACCAAGTTGAATTTTGCTAATAACATCTTCATCTATATCACTATCACTTTGAACAGTGGGTCCGAGATATCACAAACATTCACACCTTTTAATGATTTGATCACCCATAGTTACAACTCCACCTCTATTGCTACTATTACTAAAATTACAGTCCATGTATTCATTTTTAGATCTATTCAAACAAGGGCCTTTAGACTCCAATGTAGACCTCCATAATTCAAGTTTTTCCTGAACTCTTTCAACGAAAAGCATACACCAAGATACATCCTCCTATAAATGTCCAATAAGAGCATCCAAACTAAAACAAAAGGATATGGGCTTAAGGTCGATCTCTGATGTAATCCAACTAAAATAGGAAGATACTTGTTCAGTTCTCCTTCTGTTTGAACACTAGTAACAACTCTAGTATACATATCTTTAATAACTTGAATATAAGTCATATCAACACCTTTCTTTTCTAGAACTCTCGAAAGAACTTCTATTGGAACCTTATCATAAGATTTTTCTGAATCAATAAAAGTCGTATGTAGATCCTCCTTACTCTCTGTAGTTCTTCATCAAATCTCTTGATAAATGTATAACTTCTATAGTAGACTTGCCCGACATAAATCCAAATTGATTATGAGAATCTTTGTATGATGTTTTAATCTATGTTCAATCACCCTCTTTTATACTTTTAAAGTATGACACATTAATTTAATACCTCTATAATTACACTCCCATGCATCTTTCTTTTTTTTTTTTTTTTAATGAGGACCAAAATACTCTTTCTCCACTCCTTTGACATCTTTTTAGTTTTTAAAATAATATTAAAGAGTTTAGTAATCCAAGAAACTCCCAAATTTTTTAGATATTTTCATTTTTCAATTGGTGTATCAATTAGGCTCTATTGAATTTTCACCCTTAGTTCTATTTAAATTCTCCTCAACATATTTTTTACTAATGCAACAGTAAAAATAAAATTTTTTAATTATTATTAACAATATTATGATTACTAAAGTGGATTGTATTTTGAGAAATTTCATTGAAAAGTTTATTAACATAGCTCACCCACATATGTTGAATATTTTCCTCTTAGAAAAACATTTTTGATTTTCATCTTTAATACGGTTAAATTCAATCTTTACTTTTATTTTCTTATTTTTTTGACTAGTTTATGCATATGTTTTTCACCATCTTTGGTATTTAATCTATTATAAAGATCA